AAAAAAATCGAAAAAAGCCTAATTCATTTTCAAAAAAGCCAGAATTCCCGCTTCCCGCAATTCTTAAATATTTCCCGCAATTTGTCTTCGGAAAAAGCCAGATTTGACGGGATAAAAGCTAAATTGGCAGCAGTGGCTCTCTCGTGCTCACGCTCTCTCTCACTCTCTGTACGAAGGGACTTGTTGCTGCTGGCGCTGCCGTCGCTGGCGACCGTTGCAGACAGAAGCCGTAGTTGAGTTCAAGTGACGACTTCGCACTGAGAACGACCAAATACAAAAACAATAATAACAAATATATGTACATATAAATATATCGCTTTGATTGATATAAATGAATATGCAGCAACAGTGGCGCAGCTGAAAATAAAATAAATTCATTTTAATGTCCAAGTGTTCGCCGTTACGTCTTTAATTGGCGCGCAGAAAGAAACACACACACTCATCTATACAACAACAACAACAATAATAATAACAGTAGGGCAGCCAAAAGCCGCTTAAGTGCATAAGTAATACAAAAGTAATAAGAAGAAAAGAGCCAAAGCAAAACAAAGAAATAGCAATAAGAAGCAGACGAAGAGGTGTGCAAGCGTGTAAAATACGATTTGAGTGCCAAAAAAATAGAGAAAAATACATTAGAAAAAAAAAACATCAGCTTTCAATTATAAAGACGAACCATGCAAAAAGCACAAATAGGAAGGAAATCAACAAGTGTGTGACGCGCGTCTCCGTCCTCCGTTCGTTCGGTCGTCTGCTCTGCGCTCTGCTTCGCTTTCATTCATGCGGTCAACTAGAGTCAACAGCCATAACAGCAGCGGCAGCGTCTGATAAATACCAAAAGCAACAGCAAAAACAATAGTAACTGCATACCAGTAACAGCAGCAACACAACAACAACGACACTTTCAACGGCGAGCTTTCAAGTAAGTTTCCATATGCCATAAGCAATCATGAGTGTGTGAGTGAGCGAGTGCATATAAGACATGCATATGTACTTGTGCACTTAAAGACACACACACATGCACACCTACATACGTGCTTCTACATTTGTGTGTGTTTTGCCTATTTGCTTAACATTTCAGCTATTCAAGCTTTTAGTCATACTTAGTATATTGACTGCCATTCAACCATGGACACGTGTGTCGCGTGCAAACAGAGCTTTGCATGCGTCGAATATCTAGCCGATAGATAATTGCCATACTTGATGAGCTAGTCATAAGGTTACAGTAGAGAGCCAACTGCGATTTGATCTTTTATACATACATATATGTGTGTACATATACATATGTATATATTGTGCACATATATTTTGTTGTATAGGTAATATGTATATGTATATAGAAAGGAATATGCCGAACGCGAAAAGTTCGATTGAACGGTTCATTAAATTGAAGTGAATTTTTTGCGATTGATCAGTTAAGGATATTTATGAATCCGATGATGAACGATATACTGTTGGTTAGATTTGTTTCAGAATCATGCACTCAATTGAACCGTTCAGCTGCTCATAAGCAAAAAGATCATGATCAAGCCGTTCAATAACTGTCTAATAAAAATTGCTTATGAACTACAAAATATGCATCAATCAAAAATTGCTGAGCTCACTGAACTAGTGATGGGAACTGTCGTTCATGAGCTATACAATTGAACGAAATCATCAATTCAAAATAGATATCATGATTCATGAACAGTTGAAATAGCTTACCTAGTGAATATATTGACCCATACGACCCATTCCAAATAGATTAGATAGTATAGCTGTTAGGGAAGATATTCCGAATCGACAATATAAATGTTAAAATATTTTTAATAGCAGAATAGTAGTAATAGTAGAAACCTAGTTTTCTCCTTCCAATTGAAAATGCTTTGAACTTAACTTCAAAACTCTAAACAATATTATTCACTCGTTCAGTTATTGCATAAAGTTCGCTTCAGAATTCCAAATTTCTTGAAGTTGAAATAGTTTCCAATATCTGTTTTTATATTGCAAATATATCTATACTATTTGAAACGGTTTAAGCGAAATTCAAAATGTGTTCACGTGATCCGGCTTCCAATCAGTTGATCGACTACAAGAACAAAGACTCAGAGCCACCCACCGAATGCACCACTTCGAGTGGTATACCCGTTGGTGTCAAGGATGCCATTATGACGGTTGGGCCGCGAGGTCCTGCTCTGTTGCAGGACTTCGTTTTCCTTGACGAGCTGTCGCATTTTGATACGGAACGTATACCAGAGCGTGTGGCCTATGCCAAAGGTGCCGGAGCTTTTGGATACTTCGAATGCACCCATGACATAACCAAATTCTGTGCAGCGTCAGTATTTGATCGTGTCAAGAAACGTACAGCGATAGCCATGAGATTCTCAGTGGCCTGTGGTGAGAACGGATCCGCGGATACGGTGCGCGAACAGCGAGGATTTGCGATCAAGTTCTATACGGAAGATGGCATCTGGGATTTGGTGGGCTGCAGCATGCCCGTGTACTATGTGCGTGATCCCTCGCTCTTTCCCAGTCTGGTGCATGCCCAGAAACGCAATCCACAGACACATCTCAGGGATCCGGACATGTTCTGGGACTTTATGTCTCTGCGAGCAGAGACAATGCACGCTTTGCTCATGTATTTCGGTGATCGGGGAACTCCCGATGGCTATAGGCATATGCATGGCTATGGCGCCCATACCTACCGCATGGTAAATCCAAGTGGAGAAACTTTCTATGTTAAATTCCACATGAAGACAGATCAGGGTATTAAGAATTTGGACGCACGTCGTTGTGCAGAGTTGGCCGCTCATGATCCAGACTATTCCATACGTGATTTGTATAATGCCATCAAGAAGGGCAACTATCCTAGCTGGAGTTTGTTCATTCAGGTGATGCTCAACGAGGAGGCCAGAAAGTGCAAATTTAATCCTTTCGATGTGACCAAGGTGTGGCCACAGAAGGAGTATCCCTTGTTGCCCGTTGGCAGATTGGTCTTGGATCGTAATCCCACCAATTACTTTACGGAAGTCGAGCAGTTGGCCTTTAGTCCGGCTCATATGGTGCCCGGTATTGAGCCGTCGCCGGATAAAATGCTTCAGGGTCGTCTGTTTGCTTATGGCGATACACAGAGATATCGCTTGGGCGTCAACTATATGCAGATCCCTGTCAACTGTCCGTATCGTGTGAATGTCAAGAACTTCCAGCGTGACGGAGCGATGACTGTGAATGATAACCAGGATGGTGCACCCAACTATTTCCCCAACTCCTTTTGTGGACCCAAGGAGAGCTCTCGGGCTCTGGCTCTACAGACCTGCTGTCCCGTTTCGGGTGATGTCTATCGCTATATGAGCGGCGATACGGAAGACAACTTCAGTCAAGCCACCGATTTCTGGACCTATACCCTGGACAATTGCGGCCGTAAGCGCCTGGTACGCAACATATCGGAGCATCTAGCGGATGCAAGTCAATTCCTGCAGGAACGCGCTGTTAAGCTCTTTACCATGGTCCATGCCGACTTTGGACGACTTATGACCGAGGCTCTGAATACAGCCAAGATATCGAAGTTCTAGCTGCTCCAATTTAGCTGATTGTAATATTTGATAAAAAATATATACTGAAATTTTAGCGTTGTTTAAATAAATTGTTAAGAACAAATACTAAATTTAATAAGAATTAAAGATATTTTGTTAAAAATAAATTGTGCATATGGATGAAATAAGATTTATATAAAAATGGGATCAAATGAGATTGTTACTGTGTACCTGTTTGCCATAGACCATAGAGTAGTGCAGGAATGATGATAGCTTAAGTAGTATTTTTAGTAAATTCGTATATTATTTATCTGCACCATTATTTTTCTGTACATAGAAATTTCTATTTGAAATCCCCAATTTAAAACCCTATTAATCTAACTGAAAGCAACCGTCACGTTTTCGGCACGATCTGAAATCTATAAAAACCTGTTGCCGTGGAGATTAGTTAGGGGTAAGGCCCCCTCGCTTTGATAGTTAGAACCACGTATATAGCTGCCATTGGCTTATCAAACTTTTATGGCCAAGAAATAATAAACGTTTGATAATAATCACAAATTTCCTATCGCTGAACCTGAAAATTTTTCTGATAGAGAAATGAAGAAAGCCATTTGCGTGAAGTCAGTTTATTTTTTTCAACTGTTTATCTGAACGAGCGTTCGGAATAGATTATTATTTCAATATGATATTTTGGCGCTACGAGTCACCACAAAAGCTCTGCGCGTGGGGTGTGCCATAGAGTTGCTTTGGTTTATGAGTTGCTCGTAAAAATGGACAACTAGAAATGCTGATAGGGCCATTATATTACTGGGTATATATATAAATATATATATATTAATATTAGGTGTATTGTAAATGTTGACTCCCTTTCACGTATGGCATGTAACCAGAACATACTTGTATTATACTTGCTATTTTATTGCAGATATTATTGCGGCTTATCGAAAACCCATTAAAGCTATATAAGACACATTTACCTGTATAATATAGTTGAAGTAGTTGTATTACAGTTTCCATGTTGAATTACTTCAACTATAATATATACCACTAAACACTTATCGTTATCGTTCGTTTATAGTTGCTAAGCATGACTCGCACACGATTGTGAATTATCTTTGATAAGAACGTACACTCGTTTATTATGAAGCACCCACAAGATCTGACAATTACCGATGGACAGCAGCTAATGGAGATTAACAAAGTGGAGCAAATGGAACAGGAGATTAATGAGCCAGGTGAGTGTCCTATTATAAATTATGATCTAATACCTATTAGCCATCAATTCTTAAGTACGCATGGATTTGATTCGTATCGGTTTGATATCTAATCAAGTTAACAATATCATAAATATATAAATTCTATTTGCGGTATAATCCTAAATCATATATATAATGGCTTCTTTGAGGTATTTTTGTTAATCTATCAACACTTGAGTAGATGCAATATTTATTTGATTACTCCGAAAAACTTTGATAATAGCTATTAAAGATTCTTTTATCGATTTTTACTCTGAAAATATTAGATCTTTTGATACTGCAAAATTGGCATTTCAAATTACATTAAAATGTATAAGTATAAGTTCAGAAATATTTTTCTTTTGCAACAAATTGATTCCGAAAATGTTTAAATAAATTTGTATTATGTAGTACAAGTTAAATTAATTTTAATTAATGCACTGTATGCATGCAAATCTTTTAAAGTGTAATACAAGAGGAATAATTTACAAATTATAAATAAAACTGACTCAGCAAATTGTTAAAAAACTTTTTTTTGTTATATTTTTAATTGAAGTGTATTCACTACTTAGCAATGATTTGCACAAATTTCAAAATAATTTATGTTACTCCGAAATTTTAGAAGCCATAAACTCTACGGTTCAGGGTAGCAATTTCACCTGGCCAACGCATGGCACGTGCCTGGCCAAAATAAAATAACAAAAAAAAAAAAAACAAGATCTATATATAAATGCGCTCCAATTGCGTTTTATATGATATGAGAAGTGCAGCACATAGAACAATATAGGAGTATTTTAGAGGGGAGAGAGTGGAGGAGATGGGAATTATAAATAGAAGCGAGATAGCCTTGATAAACCAGCTTGCGAATGGAGGCTTGATAAGCCAGACGAGCAATCATTGTAAATGTTTATAATTTGTTTATTGATTAGCAAGAACTTGTTGTTGGGCAAGCAGATTAAAAAATTGATTAGTCGTGATATAAGCAACTGTTTTACGATCCAATAATTGCAAGCAAACAAAAACGTATATGTATATTTATATTAAATAAGCTAAATTGCTAACTTTAAGTATTACAAGACGGCTAAAAATGTTACTGTCGGCAAAAAAAAAAAAATAAAATAAAGAACTGAAAAGAAACAGAAAAAAATTCAATTTAAACATTGAAAATAAATCGCAAAATGGCGCTCAAAATGAAAACGAAATAAAACGTAAGCGTAATGTTTAACTTAACCCCGAAGGGTTAAATATGCGCAATAGCAAACACATACGACTTAAAGCAAAAACAAAAACAAAGAAGGAAAACAAAAACAAAGCTTAGTGCAAAAATAAAAAAACCTAGTCGCTGTCGCAGTCGCTGTCGATCTGAAGTGGCCCGGGCTCAAGCCCCTAGACATAAGCCCAGCATTTAATTGTTGAATATTTATAGCCAGCCTAGGCGGTCTAGCTAGCTAGCCAGATGTGGACGGAACAGGCCCCTCTCCGGGCTCGTTCTGTAGTGTCACCTTTTTAAGCGCTGCGCTGACATGACGAAAACAATTTTCAACTGAAACGCACTCGGCTGGCTACTCGCACTTAATTTGATTTTTCAACATTGAAATCAGGCATTATACAAAACAAAAAGTAGAGTAAAGTAAAGTTAACTAAAGTGAAGTAAAGCAAAAAAACAAAAAAAATAAAATAAAGTAAAACCCATGCCAAGTAGTTGAGACATTTGCCTGACCCACCCAAAGCTTAATATATTTACACAGCACATATAGTCTATGTGCCTACATACATACATACATATACTAAGCTCTGCGCTGATATTATTCTATGGAGGTTATCGGCTAGACGCGAACTCAATTGATTTGTGCATTGCCCCGATTTAATAATATTTTATATATTCTGCGCTCTGGCTACCCCTCCGCACTCTCGTGAAGGTCTTGTTTTCTTAGTTTATTTATTTATTTTTCATTTTTTTTTTTTAATATTGCTCTGCTTATAATTATAATTAAAAAATTTAAAGGCTATCTAGATAGTATTTCCGTGCTTATGAAATATGTGTATGCTTGCACGATATCAACCTCGTTTGCTCCTAAGCAAGTTTTCGTTTTATATATTGTATATTTGTTGAATTTTTTCTCCTTTATTTTGTATATCCGCTTCGGACACTCGTTAATTTAATCATAGAGATAATGGAATCGCCTTATGTCACATTTGTATAGAGGTAAACAATAATGCAATTGCTCTTGAGCTCTTGAAGTGATTCCGAAACCTTAGATAAGTGTATAACGGTATGCCATTCGATTTCTCAATAAAGGTATAATACTTATTGACTTAATGAATAAATTATGATAATAAACGCACAGATATTGGGCAGATTAATTTATATGGAATATTCATATTTTTTTGGCCTAATAAAAAATTTGACAAAATATATATGTATATAAGTTATCAGTTCAGATTTTTTAGTACTTTTTACCCACAGTATATAAAAAGAAATTTGCAAAAACTTTATTTTATATACATACATAAAGTGAAAAAGAAAAATGCAAATTCCGAAAATTTAATATTCCCAAGATTTGGCATCCTTAAAAAAATATTATACAAAACAAAAAGACTTAAAAATGAGCACTCCGAAAAATGAGTACTCCGAAAAATGAGCACTCCGAAAAATATAAAAATTAGTTTTCCTACAATTGACCTGTCAGAAAAATAATTATGTAAGTGTGAACATTTTCTTAAATTCTGAATAAAAACAGCTTAATCTACTCCGAAATAGCAATTTACCATGCACACACACACGCATAAAAAAAAACAAAGCATTCCTAAAACATTTATATAAACATACATACATATATAATTTGTTCTAATGCCGCTCCGCATCAATTACCTTGACTCTGAAAAATTTGTTTCCTGAGCGCTTGAACCATCATTATCTAATTCGGATAGAGCGAAGCTCTCAACTTTATTCCGAGTCAAGTGTTAAGTGCCTTTGGTTGGTGGATAGTTTTCCAGTTGCTTCGCTACGTTGCGATACGAGCGCAGCACTTGAGCTGATTCTTTCAATTAGGCGGTCACCTTTTCTCAATTTCAGCGAAAGATCTGCTCTCTATATATACGGTACACAAATACAGCTACAAATATATTTAGTTGCATGCGAAGCACTCAACAATGTGGACACATTTCACTTAAAGTTGTCGCCGCCTAATGAAGTGTAAATAGTAAATTGCAGTCAAACATTATGAATATCATCAGCAATATTCATTGTGATCATCATTGTGAATGATGATGATGATGATGATGAGTGTGTTGATCATAACAACAACAACAATTGCAACTGCAAATGCAACTGCAATTGCTTAATGATAATGTTGTTCATGACGCAGATGACGAACAACACATGCAAATCACATGGCTGTCCTATGGATACGAAATTCTCAAGCACACACACTCACACTCACTCACATTCACTCAGTCAGTCATCGGGCAGTGCAAAAATAAACGCAGCTCCATTGCTTTGTATGGTTAATATAAATATGTATGCAAATAAAATAATAAAATTTTCGCACAAAACTCACTTAACGAACGCCACAGAAATCAGTAGAACGGGTAAAGGGGAGTTCATCTCATGGGGGGAGTTTTATAATTGCATAGGTGAGAGTGTGTGCGCGTGTGTGTGGGGGGCGGTGCCTGTTGGCTTGGCTAATTTTCATATTTCTCTGGAAATTGACAGGCAGTCAAGTTATCCACATGTGCGCAGGCCGGGAAAATGCGACATGCAAACACACACACACACACACACACATACATATACACATGACACAACAATGCCACGAACATGACATGCATTTTATTATAC